GCTTGAAAGTTAATAATTTTCTCCTTTCTGAGGTGAAACATATGCAACTTTGCTCTCTGGTGTTCATTTAGGACCATCATTTTTTTATGTTAAACATCCCTTTGTTTTAAGATATTATAGGGTTAGTAGATAATGTTTTGTGTTTGCTTTTCAGATGTCTTTACATAGCAGAAATAAAAATGGCCAAACTGTGACTGACATTACTGGGGTACCCTATTATCCGTTTTCCTTCTTCCTCCCAGACATTTACTTCCCAGCCTCCTTGCCGTTGCGGGAGGTCATGAGACTCGTTAGACCACTAGAAGTGATATTATCTCCATGCTGAAGCACCTAAAAGCCTCTGCACTTCTCTCTTCTTCTGCTGTGACTCTGAAATTTTCGGGGATCAGAGGCATGAGAAGGGATGGAGATACTTGGAAAGCCTCTAGACCTCCAACCATCTTTGCCTGCCTGAGTGAGAAATCAACCTTTCTTGTGTTAAACCACTGAGATCTGGCATCGTTTGTTACTGCATTAAGGCCTAGTCTATGCCAACTAATATGACAGTTCTTTGTCAGCCTCCTCTCCTGCACTTACTTTCCTAGATTTTGAAATCTAAGTGTCAGAGAACCACTCTGAAGTAAGCTATTTAAAACTATGCACAAATACATACTTTTAAAAAGAATAAGTAAACTCAAATGGACTTTATTAGATGAGTGAAACTTTGGTAATATCCTTTACAGTAATTAGGATTTCACAATAGCAAGGCCAGAAGGTACTAATCTAAACCAGCTAGGACTGGTGCTGTCTGTCTTTGAAGTTCTCCAAAAACCACAGTGCTGTCATTTTTCTCCAGTGACCCATGCCATTTCTTATCATCTCAGTATTCAACAGTCTTCCTTTAGTCCAAGTGCAATCCCTCTTGGCTCATTTAAAATTTCTTTCTTTTTATTTTACACCTATGGAAATGGAGATTTAAAACAAAAAACAAAAAACTATTTATTGTGACCTTTCTCATAAAGCCCTTCTGCTGAGTCCACGCTGCTTGTCCTCTATTACTCTTCTCTTCTGTGAGCTAACCAGCAGAGATTCACTTAACCTTTCCCTATAATCCTCTAACAAGATTCACACTAAAGCTGGCTAGAATGGAAAGATGATTTGATTTTCCAGCATGCATGGAGCCACCTCTTTGTCATTACCTGCCAATGTCATGTTGGTGCTGCTTTGCTGTCTTGCACCCATGCAGACGAGTCTTGTCATTCTGCGTGTGTGCTAATATTTTCCCCTCCTGTTTGTGCTCTTCCTCCTGTCTGGAACACCCTCTCTCACTGCTGAAATTTGATCTTGGCAATTTTAGCAGTCTTTTCATGTATGAAAAGCCTCTGGATTTTGTGTTGTGCTTGGTAAGGCCTTCCCCGGTACAAAATTGTTTTTTAATTCTGAAAAAATAAAAATATTTTTGGACCTTGGGTCTGACTCAGATCACACTTTTCCTGACCCCTGATCACCTCAACCACAATCAATCTTGTCCTCTTCGTCCCTCCTCTTATATACTATATGCAGTTATGGTCATTTATGTAAACGTCCTATCATCCCACCTAAATAGAAAGTTCTGAAGGTCGGCAATTGCATTCATATCTCCCAGCAACGTCAGCAATTGCATTCTTGTTCTTCATTTCACAGATCTCTAATAAATACGTGATTGAGTGTTTTATGTGCATTATCTGTTCTTCCCCATGCTGGCTCTCGTGAAGTTTGCTGTCAGTCTGTTTTTGTACAAATAATGTAAGTTTTGTCCTCTTCACCAGGATTCTGAAATTATTTGTCTAATATCTAAGAGCATAATTTCCAAAAATTTGAATTGGGATAGTTTCCAGGATGGAAATAATTATCACAAGGCAATATTGATCTGTGGGCTTTATTTTCATAATCTGCTCAAGTGTGTTGCGTGTGTCTCCAGCGTCCTCACTGCCGAGCTGTGCTCACAGAGCGCATGCTGTCAGAAGGACTTGGGCAGCATGCTTCTGCATCATTCCCCTCCCAACTGCAATTAGATCTTCCAGGACTGTGCATGTGCCTATCATAACACACATCACATTCTACTCTAATTGCTTGCTTAATTGTCTTCCCCTTTCATTGTCAAGCTCTTATAAGGCAAGGCCCATGTCTGCCTTGGTCACCATGATGTCCCTAAGGCCTAACACAGTAACTGACAAATAATAGGAGCTCATTTAATGAGTGAGTGGATACATGAATGAATAGAGGAAGCATTCCAGAAATGTAGTTGTCTTGCCTGGCATACAGTTTCAAAGCAGGAGGCCCCTTGGTGCCTCTTGGTCATTTTCACTGCTTTCTTCCCTATTGCATAGCAACTGAAAAGTGTTTGTGTTGTATCAAGTAGAAAACAACATATTAGTGGCTGCCCCACATTAGGTGGAACTTTGAGTTGTGTCTTAGGAGTGGGGATGATTTTGCAGTCTTCTGTTCAACTTCTTCCTCCCCACTTTTTGAACTTTAACTGGTCCGTTAACTAACTAGTGCCAAAGTTAACAGTGGAAACATCATTACTTCTACTACTAATAGCTAACATTGATTGAATCTTTGCTGTGTCCTAGGCTTAGTGCTAAGTGTTTCAAATTAATTCTTATTTTATCTCCCCCAACAGCCTTATAAGCGTAGTGTAATCTTCTTCAATACAGATGAGGACTTCAGGCCCTAAATCATAAAGCTAGCAAATGTTGCAGCCAAGGTCTGACCCCAGACAATCCATTCTAGTCCCCATGTTATATTGTTAACTCCTGTGAAGTTTGTAGTTGTGTGTCAGATTTGCTCCAGATGAAGATTAATCTCTTTTCACTTNTCTGACCCCAGACAATCCATTCTAGTCCCCATGTTATATTGTTAACTCCTGTGAAGTTTGTAGTTGTGTGTCAGATTTGCTCCAGATGAAGATTAATCTCTTTTCACTTTCTATGTTCCAGCTTTCCTCTTTCTTGCTTCATTATCAATCTCTTGTGAATTGCTCCTCATAATTCTCATATGATCATCCTGACAATAAGTAGATCAAACAGTAGTGTGCCCATCTTTCAGATGAAGAAACTGAGGCTCAGAAAGTTGACGTGACTTGTCATTGGCCACACTGGGGTAGGATAGCACTGCTTCCACTTGACCATTGGTGACCCCAGTGGGCTTTTTGAAGGATATTGAGTCTGGACAAACCATGTGCTTCCCCACATGCTCCAAGTTCTGTGCAGTGGACACCTAAGGCAGTAGAGTGTGTTACTCATTCACTTGTATTCCAATTCTCTTAGTGAAAAATTATTCGAGGTCCCATGATTTTCGCCGTGAAAGGTCTTCTGTGAACTGAAGAGAAACATTCTGAGAAAAGTTATTAAGCATGATTAATACAATTTCGTAGAACAAAGGACATAATTTAACTTCCCCACATCCAACAAAGAAATTCATTTGAAGCTTCAGGAACTCCAGCTGGAAGGGCAGAGCTCATCAGAGTGGGTTCTTCAGTCGGGGGAGTGTGGGCAAGGAGCCGTGCTGGCTGCTTTGTATTTGGGGACGCATCTGTGCATGATGGAATACACATCTCTCCCAGCCTCCTCACCCCTCCCCTGCCCTCCACATTAACCCACAGCGCTTCCTTATCACAAGCACAGAGTCCAGAATGTTGACTTGCGCTCGCCTCTCATATGGCCCAGGATACTGCACAGGCAACATTGAAAAGAACATTGATTTTATGCAGTAAAAGATAACCATGGAAATACTCAGCTGATAGAAACAGTAGCCATCCTAGTGGACAGAACACCTCAGTGAGTTTTTCTGACCTCACTCAAAATATCAGAAATAGATGTTATTTACTGAGTGTGTGACATTGTGTTAATCATCACCATAATTACATTCAATATTTTTGCTTTCCTTCATTGCATAAGCTCCACAAGAGTAGAGACTATATCTATACCCAGTCCTAGCAGGGTGCATGGCTCAGTAGATATTTACTGAACGAGCAAATGTACAGATGAGGTCATTGTAGACCCCAAAAGTTAGGTTATTTGCCCAAGGTCTCATTGCTAGCAGGAAGCAGAACCAGGATTTGAACCCAGGGCTATCCAACTCTAGAGTTGTTTCTTCTCTGTTACTTAGATAGGCTTCTTTGTGGTGCAAAAAATTGGAGATTGGCGACCTAAAGGTATTTAACAAAGCTCCAGTCGGAGGTCCGGAAACTGAATTTTGGCCCATCCTTGCTGAGATCCTGGTGTGACCTTGGAAAAGTCCCTTCTCACCCAAGCCTCTATCTTCTAATCTGTAAAATGAGCAGTGGAAGTAATGCTCTCAAAGGGCTTAAGGGTCCTCAGACGCCCCTGGCAGGTTTATGCTTTGTCATCTCCCATGCTCACTTGGAGTTGGGGTAATGGGTTGGGGTAATTCACCACCCAAGCACAAGAGAAAAGTAGTCAGTTGTGTTTTAAGGTTGCACAAAAACTCAAAGGTGACATAGTCCCAGGCCAGCAAACAGCCAACATCCTGAAATAAAAATTGAAGAGAGAAAAGAAAGTAGAGGTATTTGAAGGCTTGACACAGCTTTTGATTTAAAAATATATATACAGAGAGCTGTGATTCCACCCCTGGGTTATTGCAGCATGTAATCTGAAACAGGCGCTCAGGTTGATAACTGTGCCCAGATCTGATCCCTGGCACGTAAGAGCACACAGCTTTTAAAAACAAAAAATAGGCGTGTGTCTTTAACGCCTCTCTTCTATGTGATTTTTTGTACTCATTGCATAGCTAGATTGCATAGCTAGGGCCTTTGCATCCAGCAAAGGCTTTCTTCCCCTCTCCCTGGCTTGGGGATTATTGATTGGGAAGGCGAGGCTAATTTACATGTAAATAAATCTCAGCGCTGGGCAGTGGGGATGGGACGTCCAGATGCCGTGACTGACTTGCTGACATCACGGCCTCATTAGCATGCGGAGGATGCGAGCATTGCAACAGCGACTTCTCCAGCACCGCCAGCAGCGCCGCCGACAGTTATTATTATTTTTTGGCCGAGCTGCACATTTCCTGGTTCAGTGGCTTGAGGTCTGCGAGCAGCTGACTGGTCGCCCAGGGTCTGGCTCAGGATCAGATGGTGACGCCGAGGCTGGGGTCTGTGACTTCCTTCAGATTGTCGTGAAGCAGGGGAGTTCCGAGGAAACCAGGGTTCTCAGGAAGGCAATCAGAGCGCTCAGGAGGATCCAGAGGAGGGATAAAGTCACACTTTTTCCCCTGCTTGGTGAATTCCCCAGCAGAGTCTGGATCCAGCAATGCTGTGTTCCCTGAGGGCTCGATACTGCTGCCAGCGTCAAGAGGGGTCCAGATTTTGAAAAGGGGGTTGAGAAGAAGATGCTTTGGCTGCCTGAGGTCCTGCTTGTGTTCTTAGAAGCCAGACCCCAGGAGAAAGTGAACTGGAGCAATTGACAAGCTCCAAGGGTCTGGTGGAAGCTTCCTCCGAGACTGGTTTCATCCTCCCTGGAGGTGGGTAAGAAATTTGCTCTAATTCACAAATTAAACAGCAGCATATTTTCTAGGGAGGATTAGAAAGTCAGATCTAGGGCTTTGCATTAGGGGAGGACATCGGGGCTCCAGTATCTTGGCCAGGTGGCGTTTTTGGTGGCTCTCTGGCACCTTTTACTTAGAAAGCTCAATTGCAAAGTGATATGTCACAGGTATCGGGAGTCTTGAAGAAACGCTTAAATCATGGTGCTTAAGCAGCAGCATTTCTCTAAAAATGCAGCTTTCTTAAAAATAATAGTAAAGGGGGAGAAGGTTAAAAAGCCAAACACCTGGTAGTGTTCATGTCATTTCAGCACATGATGTCAGAACCATTACGGGCTCTGAGGAATAAGGATTTAGCTGAGACTTCCAGGTAAAGAAATGGCTCTCGAATTATTTAGGTTTAATTTTAGCTAATGCTTTCAGATTAGAAATGATGACAGAGCTTTAGAATCTAACTGCATGGCCTGGCTGAAACACAATTCGGTTTGTCCTCTACACTGGATTTCTCAAAGGAGTGTTCACAGTTAGTTCTCCTGGCTCTTGGTTTCCCGAAAACCAATCATAGCATTACTAATCTGCCATGGAGGTCTTGTGATGAAATGCAGATTTTTAATCCCTTTTTTTTTTTCCTTAATGTGGTCTTGGACTATGCTGGGGTCCAATGGGACTTTTATGAACCATAAATAATCTGGGCTGTGCCAAATCATACCAGGGTAAGTGATCCATACCAGATGCAGTGTCACCCGTTGGTCCAAATGTGGCTCTTGTGTAACTTAGGCACATAGACTCTCTCCCGGGTGAGAGAGTTCTGCTTGCAGTATCAATGCATGCATGAGCACAGTCAGGAAAGGACTCCAGTGTGCCGTGAATATATACAGACATGGATCACCGTGAGTTGAGCCTGCAGCTTGTAAGGCTGCATGCAATTTGCTTTGCTTGAATATCTTCTCCCAAAGAGAGTTTGAAACCATCTGAGTGAGACTTAAACTAAATGAAGCAGCCTTGCCTCCTTGCTAGAGGCCGAGTTGGCTTCTCTAATCCTGCTTCACAGAAGGCTCACTGCCTGCTGATGGCTTTCACAGATGGGTCAGGATGAGTGTCCCTGAGGGCTCTGGAGTAAGTCACAACTTTGACAGAATTACCATATTTTGGAAATTTGGATTTTAATGCCTCCTTGAGTGCTTGTAAAGATTTTGCCTTTCCGTCAAATGCTCTTTCCCTTTGGCAATTCTTTTTTTTAATGTGAAAATTAAAACATACCGGCTCCATACAGCATTGCAGTCTGTAAAGAGTCATGAGGAAGCCAAAATAGTAAAATAACATTGTTTGCAATGGCATGTTTGTAAAGGCTCCGCCATGTGATGTGGGGGGAAAAATAGAAATATAGGAAGAAAGGTGCATTTTTGGATTGACTCCTGTCTGTAAAACAGGGTCAGCAACAGAACATTAGACAGGGTGATAGATGTAAGGATTTAATGAGATGACATATAGAAAGCATCTAGCACAGTGCCTGCCGATTGCAGATGCTCAGTAAATGTCAGCTATTATTATTACTGTTATTGTTATTGTTACTTTATTGTCATTATTATAAGCATGGTTGCTAAAAATGAAATAGTTCAATGGAAAGGCAATATGTTCACATCCATTTGCCAACAATGAGGTTTTGCTAGCAGAAAAGATGCCGTCTAGTCACTGTTATATCCAAATCATTCCCACTCAAAGAAACTTTCCACCCTGTTGATTGAGTAGACAGAATAAAGTATACTATACAGAACTACTGTATTTTGCAGAACTAAAAGTGACCAGATGATATAATGAAAATCATTTAGTACTAGCTGGGGCTCAGGCACCCTTAAAGAAGGCCTCCTGTTTTGGCAGCTAAGTCACATGTAGAAAGCTGCAGGATTCAAACTGGAATCGACACATTTCTGGATTTTTCTTCTCCAACTATACATACAAGAGGCAGTCCTTTTCTTTCTTCTTCCTTTTTAGTGCAGTCACGCAGAATTTTCTTCTCCATTCAGAGAAGCCATTGAATATGTGCTTTACTTGCTTGTTCACTCCCCAGAAGTTCCAAAACTGAATTTGTACCATCATCTGTGTGGCTTCAGCTTTCAGGTTGGCCATTAAGGGAAAGGAATAGGCCTCCCCCGCCTACCTGCCTGCCTGTGACTCAGTCTTCTCTGCCTTTGTTTTGTGTCCCCTGCCATGATACATCCTTGCCAGACTTGTGATCTTCTTCTTTCATGCCAAGGAGCATACTTCAGTCACACAATTAGACAATTGATTTTCTCTTTCCTCCCAATATCTGTCTTTTTAATTTAGGTGTAATGGAACTCCAGTGCAAGCGTCTGAAAGACAAACTAAAGTGAATCAAAGTGGTACAGAGTTTAGATTTAGAATGACAAAAAAGTTTTGGAAATAGGTAGAGGTAGTTGTTACACAGCATTGTGATTGTAATTAATTCCATGCAATTGTATGTTTAAAAATGCTTAAAATAGTAATCCTTATGTTATATATATTTTACCACTACAAAAATAAATAACATAAAGATAAAAAAGTAAAGATTTAAAAAAGGCAAAAAAAAAAACTTCAAGCAACACATATTTTATTGAAATAGATGTTGCATGATTTCTTAAGTGTATGAACTTTATTACTTAAATATCTCTTTTCTTAAGTGAAAAATCTAAAACATAAGCAGCAGTCCAAGAATAACAATTCTGTTTCTTAAAAAAAATTGCTGTCGGTAAATAAATGTACCTTGGAGTGAAGTACAGAGGAAAAAATAAAATAAAAGTGAATTAAAGGAACCAAAAGAATCTGCCATAAAATTCTTCCTTAAGAAAGTCAGGATTGGGAGTTGACAATTGGTCAGTTGCCATAGATGTCTGGTAGTTGTGTTTGGCATGGAGAATAATATTTATACCTTAATAATAGCCCATCTCCATTGCCTCCTGGTTGTATATGTGATCTTGGGAGAGCTGCCTTACCTCTCTGAACTTTGGTTTCCTTACATAAGTACTGGAAATAAATTCCCCTGAATGCATGGGATTGCTGTGAAGATGATGGCTGTAATGCCCTTGCTCAATTCCTGGTACTTAGCGGGTATTGGGCTTTATTTCCTTCTGGTACTGGTGATTTTTGTATTTCCCATTTAATGCCAACCTGTGAACAACAGGGGGCAGTAGTTTTAATACTCACTTGACAGAGAAACCGAGGGCCAAAGAAGCACAATAACTTACTCTCCATGACACAGCTGGTGACAAATCCTGGTACCCAGTCTAATGCTGATTCTACTACACATTGATTCCAAATGCTCTGAACCCAACTGCCTTGAGTGAGCAGAAACCTCTTGATTCAGAAGCCCCCAAGCTGTGGTCTTCTTTCTTCCCTGTTGTCTTCAAACATGCAGGAGCCAAAAGGCTCTGTCCTTCAGATAAGGATTCTGGGTGGCATTTGGGTGAGGACTTTCTTTTGTGATGGAAGACCCACTGAATCCTTTCTCTATTCACTCCCTCTGTGATTGTGGTACTTATAATCAGGTAATAGTTGATGGCCATGAGTTATGGCCAACCAAAGATTGAGGACTAGGCGTTGGCAAATTCTGCTTCCTTCATTGATGCTTTTGACTGACACTGCCACTATGCTCTTGTCTCAACCTGTAAACATTTCAAATGAATGTTCTAGTTTTTAGACTGTGCGTGTGTGTGTGTCTGTATGTGTGTGTGTGTGTGTGTGTGTGTGTGTGTGTGTTATAATCAATCAAGGGAGAAAATCCCCATTGGGGACTTGGCCAGTTGTGTTTGGAGACTTGGTTTTTGTTTTTCTTTGGCCCATTGTTTGAGCAGTTCATTATTTGGAGTCTGAAAACCAGAGGCTTGCCTGTGTTCTTATTTCCCTGGGGATAAGGCAGAGAGAGAAAAAAGCAAGGCTGGAGAAAGAGAGAGAGGGAGAGACCGAGACAGAGAATGTGTGTGTGTGCACGTGTGCGTGCACATGTGTGTGTGTGTGTGTGTTTGGGTAGAGGAGTTGGGAGGAAGGGAAGGGAAGGAAGAAAGAATCGGGGAACAGCTGGGAGAATATCAGAGCAATCTCCAATCCACCATGAAAATGCAAAGCCGAAGGTTCCCTTTGGGTGAAATTGCAGCTCAGGAGACAGGAGCCTCTGTTCTCCTTTATCTGAAAACTCCTCTCCCCATCTGTCCTGCAAAACTCACAGTGAAGCCATTTTAAATCCTAAAACCCTTCTTGTGACTCAGCACAGCACATGTTTTCCACTAGAGCACCATGGATCATTTTTAAAAGTGCATTAATTAAAAGGAACACATTTTCCAGTACAAGATGGGCCTGCCTTTCCTTGGTGGGTGTAGAGGGTAAACTTCCAGCTATGTTTGGCTATGAAGTCTGTAAAACTCAAGTTGGCTACACTGAAGACTGAAATATGAGAGCCAACATGGAAGAGGAAACGTAACATGCAAGAGGGCCCAGAATCCAGAGACATCCCTGGTTGGAAGAGGGGGCATGAAGGAAATCAGAGATGGCCTCATTTGAGAAAGTGTTACTAGAGTCATGCTCACTCAGGACAGTGGAGTGAACCCAAAGGAGGAAGGAATAATGGTGATTTCTGATATCCCCCTTCTTCCCGATGCTAATGTTTGAGCTGTTGTACGTAAACCATCCTGGAGCACTGGAGGGAGCCCAGAAACCCCTTGTCTCTTAGGATGTGGAACAGAGATGGAATCCGGTTGGTACCTGTGGCAGCCCAGCACCAGCCTCAGATGACAGATGGCTGATTTGCGCTGCCTCTGTTTCTCTCGCACTGGGAGCACCACTGGCCTCAAGTCCCCCTCCGCTCCTTGGCTCTTTAAAGTCAACACATAAATATTACTTATTACTTAGCCCCATCCAGGGTTAAGAGTAACTGGGACAGGAATTCTTAACATTTCGTTTCCACTGGGCAAGGTGCCATTTTTCCACCT